ATTTGATTAAATAGCTTAAGTATTAGTTTAAATGTGAGATTGGTTTTTCAAAAATAGATTAGGTACTAATTATTTATGAAAAAAATTGTTTAGATATCTACATATATAAATAGAAATTGATTTCGAAAACTATAAACTCAATATTTAATAATTATCTGAATTAATGACCTTATTGGTAGAAGTTTAAAGTGATCTATCTACCTTAAAAATTAATATAATTAGAAATCTGTTAAATTAATGAATTTTATATAGCATTCCAAAAGACATTATTTTATTATTCAGTTTAAGTGAAGATATTATGCGTAATTTATAGGGCAGAAGGACAACATTTAGAAATATATGAACTCCTTAACTGTTGTAAAAGTCTGTATTTTACACTCATTAATAAAGATACAGGTAATTTTAAACTTATCTTAGGTACTCTAAAATTTAAAAGCAAATTCATTATTAGTACTCAAGGTTATAAATAATCATATATTAACAATTATTTTTTGTTACATCATTTCGATGACAAAGTAGTAGTCTAGTTGAATGAATAGTTGCATTTATTTGCATTCAGAATTTTTCAAATTTTTTCAGATTTCTGATATTCCTTACTTTGTGTCAGTGGAAAGCAATGGCAAACTTTCTATTTTTAAATTAGAAAATGGAGATGTTTATTTAAAAGAAATGAAGTCAAAAATGATAGGCATCTATAAAATTTTGGGTTAAAAGTCAGAAATTATAAAAGTGAGCCTTTCGATATTCATAATCTATAGTTAAAAATAACACCTCAAATCACTCCAATTATTTAATAAAATTTTGATATTAAAATAAATATTAGCTTAATCAATATATAAGAAACACTTCCTTTGACATTATTCTCAATTGAATAAAATGGGGATGAAATAGGATTTGATGAAGGCTTTGGAGGTTTTCAAGAAGCTACTATTAAAAATGAATCCATAAAGAATGTTTGGTTTTTGAAATTAGAATCAAACTAAAATATCATCATTTAGGAATTCTAAACTTATATATTTATAACAATGTTTTTAAATTAAAAATTAATTAAAGAATTCAACATAATGATTTTATAGAACTATATTTTAACACTTGTGAATGCTGTCTAGTAGTCAATAATTATAGTTTATGATTACTTTATATATTTATCACTTTTAGAACTTTCAGATAATTAATTGGATATCAAATTATACAAATGAGATCATTATTGCAAGTATTTATAAAAACTAAATCTGGATACTTTTTCGGTCTTGTATATTGTATGAAATAGATATATCTAAATCCCTTAATTAGAAAACTTTTCATAATTTCAAAGTTCGTAAAGGTTGTAGATTAAATTCATTTTATACTAATAGTTTAATAATCTAGGATTAAGAAATATATTATAAACCGAAAAATAAAATTACATATCAATTAAAATTTGAATCCAGAATTATTGATGTAATTATTACACAAGATTTGGATTAACTAATCAATACATACTTTCTAACTTTTACCTAAGAAGAATAAGGCGTTAAAATAAGCCTTTATATTATTGATATATAGAATCTTGTTCATTTATATGATCTTCCATTCTACTAATATAAGCCAAGACATCCATTAAATTATAAACTTTAATCTCGATATTTTATGATAGTTGTCTTGGATGATTCAAATGATAATTGCTTACTTATCTACAATATTAAAAATTAAGGAAAAAAATCGCTAATAAAGATTATAAAATTACATAAAGAGTAAATAGCGTATAATTTTATAGAAAATTAAGACATTATAATTTATATTAAGGATGGGAAAATTAGATTTAATAAGATCTAGGAAATTAACATTAAGCTAAACTATTTGGATTTAATAAAAAATAAGATGGATTTTTACACAATCAAAAATTTAAATGTCAAACTCACATCTTCAATTAAAAGTCTTAATCAATATATATGCATGCCTTTAAAAATACTTCATCTAAATACTATTTATAGTAAAGATTATCATAAATGACTATCAACCTTAGCAATTATCAATAATCAAGTCTAATTGGTCAAATAAAATGGAACTTGAATCTTAGCAACATTTACGGTAGAATAGATAAAATTGAGTTGATCCATAATAATAGCATTATTGAAATTAATCCAGTAAATTATACATGGAATAGAATAGAGTGCATTTTTTATAATAATGATGTCTGCTAGATTAGTGAAGAAAGATTTATGATCAATTTTTTTACAATGGGACAAAATATTTATACATAATAATTCATTTAAAATGTTTAATCAGCAATTTATGATAAAAAATAATCTAAATATATTTTGATATGCTTTTCTAAGGTTACATATACTGTAACGTATTTTGAATTATATCTCAAGTTTACTGAAACTAAAAATGCTAAACTAACTAAAATCGAGAAATTGGAATAGACTTTTGAGTTTCATTATGGGGATTGTAATTTTATTTAATATTCTTTTAGTTGGTACTTATGATAAATCCTATTACTTTTTCGATTTAATGATTTTTTCAAATCAGGGTAAATAAAATCTAATTTTATAAAAAAATAACAATGCTTTGATTAGATTAAAAGAAATAGAAAAAGAAATTCAGTAATAAATTCTTGATTGTTATTAATTGGATGAAACAACTTATATGTTTGCATAAATTAATTAGCATCAAGAACTAGAGTTTTTTTTAATTCAAATTAATATTATTGAAAATATTCCAAATCAAACTAAAGTCAATAATTTTAATAAAATTCTGAATTCAAATTTTCTGTATTCTATTTAAATAAGCTTTTGACAATTATAATCAAATTGATGACTTCGATTTTAAAAGCACACTGTTAATAATCAAGATAATTTCAATAAATCAATAATCAAATTAAAATTTCAACATGTAATACTTATAATGTGGAGAGTCTCTCTCTTTTTGTGTAATTAAGATTTTAAGATTTAAATAAACTCGCTATATAGATTAAAATGTAACTGCTCTTCTAAGACTTGAAACCTTTAACTATTAAACTGAACATGTATATTCAGACGCACAAATTGTGATATTT